TTAATTTTAACACTTTTGTGAGGCCTTTCCATCTGGCCAGTGCTTTTGGGTAGACTTCAGGCTCTGATCTTTTTTTTTTTTTTTTCCCCTTGGAGCGTGTTGACCTGCTGCAATGGGGTCAATATGGTTAATACGCTGCCTACCCAGCAGAACCGCAACCCTCCTGTGAGTAGTTGGCCCCGCAGATGCCCGTCTCCCAGCTCAGTTGTCCTGATTTCAGCCACCTCTGTGCTGGTCTCACAGGGGCTCCTGGAGCAGGTTGGGGGGGGGGGGGGGGCATCTCCCAGCAGGGTGTTGTAATCAGCAGGAGGTGCATTGCGCGCAGCCACAAAGTGGGCCAAAACACAATTGGTATAAGGAGAGGAGCCACTGTTCAACCACCCTGTACTCGGAAGAACAGTCCATAGACTTGCTCTGATCAGAAAGACAGGGCTTGATCCACCTTGCCAAAGGGGAGAAAGGGTCCATATTCTGAGAACTTTTTTTTTTCCTTTTTTTAAATATATATGTACAATTGGTTCATGTTTGGATTACATTTGATTGATCATAACCTTGGTGGTGAATAGCTTTTCTGTGATTTGTTGACTGTTTTACCGATCCCTTGTTAGTGTTACTGGTGACATGGTGAAGAAGGTAGCAGAGATATCAAAGGCCTTGTACTTGGGCCTATAGTTAGGCCTCTCACAGGAGGGTTTATGTGAGCTTGCCAGCAATTCAGCTCTCCTCACATTGTATAGCACCTTTTGTAAATGTGTAAAGTGTACTCATAAATCCACATACATATGCAAGCCCATAATTTACATAGTTCAGTATCTGTAAGTTTGGAATGGGATACTCTCAGGTTTTTTTTTTACCTATTGAAGATAAGATTAACACAAGATTGTTATTAATAGTTATCTTTGTTCCCAATGATGCAATTTTTTCCTTCATAGGAGCTTTCAATATACTCAGTCACGCTTTTTTTCCATTCCTTCGTTTCTCTGTCTTCTCTATAATAAAGTTTGTCTTAATAAAGACAAACTTTAGCTTAAATCAGTAATTGGTTTTTTTTCCCCCACACATTCTTGTGATTAGCCTCTGCAGCAGGATAGCGTGCATCAGCTATCACTTCTCCAGGAGCTTTGACTTCCACACCTCAAACATTTTACTCTTGTGTCTCTGTTCACCTTTCCTGTAAGCAACTTTTTATCTTTTTTTTTCTTTCTGCGCTTATGCCATGAGTGAAGGATGTTGTTTTCCTGTCATAGAGTAATAAAGATTTGTACCTTTTTTGCTCCCAAAGGCATGGTTTTCAACCCAATTGGGAGTTTTGATTCTTTGCTCCATATAGACTGAGGTTTTTTTTAAGTGAGGAAATTTTTTGCAACTGTTTATTTCTTATGTAACTTTTTTTCCAACTTCCTGGGAGCAGCATATAGAGGATTTGACTTTAGCCTATTTTCTTGGGCCTTTGTCTGCTCTGCGACCAATATAGATTGCTCGTTCAAAAGCTGGGATGTTTCTGAATATGCTCCTGAGGTGAGTTACATAGTTTGATCAGCAATTGCAACGCTTTAGGTACATTTACAAAAAGATGAATACCCTACACTCTCACCCGGAGGCTCTGTCCCTGAGGATTTGGAACAGGTTGCCCAGAGAGGCTGTGGAGTCTCCTTCCCTGGAGATATTCACAACCCACCTGGACGTGATCCTGGGCAATGTGCTCTAGATAACCCTGTTTGAGTGTGTGGGGGGGGTGGACTAGATGATCTCCAGAGGTCCCTTCCAACCTAAACCATTCTGTGAGTCTGTGATTCGGTAACGCTCACAGCTCAGCTGTCACAGAGCAGTGAAGCAGGGAGGGCTTCAGGACCCAGAGAACTGCCCCGCTTCCCCTTGCAGCCTGCTGCTGCCTTTTCATTCAAACGCCTTGGTCAGGTTCAAGGTAGTTTATGAGTTGGCTAAGGGTCAAACCCCCAGCCGTGATGTGAGGCTTAAGTGTAATATTATGTTTATGTGCATGCTAGATGTCTGGTGAGGCCCTGCTAGCATGGAAGACTGCAACCAGCCGGCAGACCTGTGTGTGCACTTGCTGCCCTAGAAGCACAGTGGTTAGCAGCACACCAAAGTCCTGGTGAAGCCCTGGCAGCACAGCAGACCCAGACCAACTGGTTGACCCTTGTGCTTGCTGCCTGAAGGCATAAGGGTTACCGGCATGCTGGATCTCCAGTGAGGCCCCAACCGGCAGGGCAGACACTGATCAGCCAGCTGATCCATGCGTCCATTGCCCCAAAGGGTAATGGTTATCAGCGTTATAAAGCAGCACACTAATATACACACTCTCCTGGTGGAGGCCCCCCCCACCTTAATAGGATTAGAGTTTTTACCCTACTTATTTCACACACTCACTCACGTTAGCCATTGCCCTAGTCTGCCCTGTTGTTGTTGTTTTCCAGTAAGTTTCAGCAGTGGTCTGCAAGTCTCCCTGGGTTTAACCTCACACCAAGATCATATAATGAGGTTCCCCAGGTTGGGGGGGGGGACTTTGTTTTGTTAACAAGTAATGGTCTCATGTTCCAGGGTCTCACCTTGTACCTGCTACTTACCAACCACAGGCTCCTCCCAGGGGGCACGTTAAGCAGCATGCTGCTTTGTCAGCATTTCTTGTTGCTGGGATTCCTGTATTAGTTCTTTCCATATGTTACTGGTCTCTTGTAACTCTTCTATCTGGTCAGAGCATTCTCACGCTCATTTCAAGCACATTAGTAACAACTAAATACAATGCCAATCTTGCTGAGTTTTTCTTTTCCCATCCTGTATTTTTGGGGACAAGATAATACATCAGCTGGGGAGGGATATTCAGATAACTCCTTCTCATTTTCCCAACTCACCAGGGAGTTCACACAGGCTGAACACTGCATGACTGGTCCCCCACGCCTGTGCCTGGGGCCAGCCGGACACCTAGTTTATGTTTTCATCACTATTCTTTATCCAGAAAGGCATTTCTCACTGGGATCCTGCCAACTATGCCAAATGTAATGTACTGTTGCAAGTGATTGTTATGGATCCCAGTAAGAAAGACACTCAGACTCCATAAGGTATTGATTAAAATACCATTTATCGGAGATAATACAAGAAGGAAAGAGGAGATAGCATACATAATCTTAAATCCCTTCTGGCGCTGTGAACCTTGAGTTGTGCAGCGTTGGACAGTCCTCTAGTCAGGGCATGGCACACTGTATAGATCCCATCCATGATGAGGTTCAATGGCATTGTGGTCTTTACAGTTTTTATAGGATGTTCTTAGAAGTAAACATCTCTATTCATCATTTCTACTATCAAGCAAAAGGATGTTTATATGAAAACATACTGCTTCACTTCAAGATAAAGATATGGACATGCAAGTGGCGGCGGTGTCATCGCGAGGCACCAAGTGGGAGCTTCTCTTATGATTAGCCAGCTATGTTTACCCTGCAGCCAAATGATCTGTGCCTGCTCAGGTCAGCTGTTAAATGGATCACTAACTCCTTAATGGACAATAGTCTTCCCATTAGGATCACTACAGGAGGTGCTTCCTAGGTGCTCCTACTTATTCTCTCCTATTATCTCAGTGGAAAGCAGGTAGCTACCAGTCAGCAGATTAAGCAGTAGGGACCTGGATTCTCCCCTTCCCTTTGCCCCTGATCGCCTCCTTCCTCCCCTGGGTGCTGCGACAAGGAGCACGTGCCTGGAACGCAGCATGTGAGCCCGGCTCTGGTGGGAACACTTTGCAGCTATGTCAATATTTGAAAAACTGCAAGAGTTAGGACAGGCACCGAAGGGAGAGCAATAGGAAGCATTACAGCTTCAGATACAACCTCCCCCAAGCCATACACCAGCGCTCTCACTGGTCCATCTCCAAATGCTCAGTGCAAGGACTGAGGTCTTCTGCTCCCCCACTTTAAAGAGAATAGCTGAAAATGAGGACAATCAAAGGTATATTAGCTGAATTCCCCTGCCATGTTTACTTCAAATCAGTGTTGTGGAACTGACCCTAGCACCTCATCTTCTAACTGGTTATAAAAATTTATGGAAAAAGTTTAATGTAGAAACCACAAAGAGCAGCTTTTCAGATTGTCAGATTACTGTGTTCATAGCACTCCAGAAGGGGACTGTGCTACCGAGGAATCTCAGATGACACTATGCCTTTCTCACTCATGAGCAGTGGATGTAGAGTGCCCAGGGAAGTTAGGCACGTAAACAAAACTTTCTAGGGAAATGCAGATGTTGGAGAGGGAAAAGATGGAGAGCAAGAACAGCTAAATTCAGAGGCAGCAAATGAAAGCAGTGTTTGTCTAGGTGAGGGAAGCATTAAAAAAAAAAAAAAAAGCCTGTAAGCTCTTGATTAGGGCTGGAATTGTTGACTTCCTCCTGCAAGACTGAGTTAACATGGCATCTGGAACTGTGCACTTCCCGCCTGAAAAAGGATCAATTTCATTCAGGATGGCTCGGGTGGCAAATGAGCACTCTGTCATGAAGATGGGAAGGTGGGAAAACTGGAGTTTAGTTGTGGTGGTGCTGTCTTTTAGCTTTTGGGGCAGGGGCAAGGGAGAAGTGGAAGAGAAGAAGCAAGAGTGCAAGAAAAAGAACAAGGGCAAACAGATGAGAAAAAAGAAACCTAACTTGAATGTGGAGGGGAAAGGCAAAATCTCCTGAGCATACTGAAATGAACTGTCTGTCTCAGCTGGGGACACCAAAAATTGCACTGTCCAATGCTACTATTACTGTGAGAAATGAAGCTATCCTTTAATGTCCTCAGGCATACCATCCAGTTACTATACTTCCTACAGCAAGCGTTGCAGGTGACAGTGGAGAAGAACACTCAGCCCTGGCTATAAGGCCAGGCTTTGCTTCTGTTGATTGTGAAAAATGCTTTTCAAAAAACCCGCACACAGACACCTTGCAAACACTTTGAAAGCTGCTTCCCAGCAAAATCTGGCGTTTAGCATCACCTGCAAAGGCTCAGAAATACTGCCGAGTTTCAGAGTAAAAGCCCAGGCAAGTAAAAGTAGTTGAATAGCAGCAGTCAAGCAGGAACAGAAAAATTTGAAAGGAAGGGGTTGTCCAAAGCTGCTGCTTTCAGACTCGTCCCTGCCTTCTGCATACATTCACTGTCACTCACTGACAACCTAAGAAGAGACAGAGTAGGGGCACTGCTCATTATAGCTGTGGGCTTTCCTCTTTAAAAAGCCTTTCCCATCATCAGCAAATGCCCTCCCTGCACCAGTCCCAGCAAGTGGCACATGTAGGCCCGTACCTAGGAGGGATGGCTGCCAAAAAGACCCAGGTCTACAAGGCTATTTACTTTCAAGGCCACTAATTTTGCCTGGGGCTGAGCCACAGGGTCTTGTTGTCAGAGAGAGATGACACAGCTAGTTTTCGTTGTTGTTTCTTTACCCTATTTTAATATTCCATACTGAATGTGATCAGCCAGGACAGGCTGGGGTAGTCAGAGCCCAGTCTCGACCTCCACCACCTCCGCCACTGCTCCAAAGCCCACCCCCTCCTGGATGATGACCATGTCGCTTGGTGAGCCCTCATCCTGCACAATAATGCACTTGTCGTCATGCTCAGAGATGGTAATTTCAATGATGTCCTTGGTTGACGGCAAATGCCCAGCAGGCCTCCTGTGTGCCCCAGGATCCAACGGGCTGCCTTGGGACTGGTAAGTAGCAATGCAGTGACCACTGGCTGTGATCAGCAGCTCTGCCTCATTTGCTGTCCCTGGCACCTCCACCATGAGCAAGGTGGGTTCTGCCATCTCCTCCTCCTGGTGGCCTTTCCTCTGAGGCCTTTTCTGCGCTGCCTGAGGCAGGTCTGCGTTGAGGGAGGCCACTGCAGTAGCCAGTTCCTCCGGGTCCTTTTCTGCCTTGTGGGTGAGCACATGGCGTGCAAGGCTCTGAGGAAGGGTGTAGCCCATGCCACAGAGTTCACATTTGTAGGGCTTGTCAGCCAGGTGGGATTTCTGGTGGCGGCGCAGCTTGGTGGCCAGGGTATAGGACTTACCACACTGCTCACAGCGGAAGGGGCGTTCACCTGTGTGTAAGCGCTCGTGGGCACGCAGTGTGTGGGGGTCCCGCAGCGCCTTGCCACACACTGTGCATAGGTGGGCCTCACCTGTGTGGGAGATGAGATGGCGCCGCAGTTCTGGCAGCTTGGGGAAGGCATCGCCACAGAAGCGGCACTTGTAGGGTTTCTCGCCTGTGTGCAGCCGGAGGTGCTCACGCAGGTTGCTCTGCTGTCGGAAGTCCTTGCTGCAGTAGGGACAGGCATAAGGGCGCTCCCCGGTGTGCAGGCGCATGTGGTTGCGCAAGGAGCCGGGGTTGGCCAGGTAGCGTCCGCAGATGGCACACTGGCAGCCCTTAGCACCAACTGGGCTAGGCCCAGTGGCCAGGTGGATCTTCCTGTGAATGCGGAGAGAGGGCCGGCGTGCAAAGGCCTTGCCACACTGTTCACAGGAGAAGGGGCGCTGGCCCGTGTGCAGGACCTGGTGCTCCTGCAAGTCTCGTTTTGTGCGGTAAGCCTTGTCACACTGGGTGCACTGGAAAGGCCGCACACCCCGGTGGGCCAACACATGGGCCTTGAAGCTCTCTTCTGAGCTGTAGCTCTTGCCACACTCTGTGCACAGGAAGGGCTTGTGGCCAGCGTGGACGAAGCGGTGCTTCTTGAGGTGGCAGAGCTGCAGGAAAGCTTTGCCACATTCCCCACAGCGGTACCTGCGCTTGCCAACAATCTCCCTCTGGGACAGAGCTTCTGCTGGGAGGCCTGTGCTGCCAGAACGAGCCTCCTCCAGCTTTGCATACTCCTTCTCCTCAGGCCCATCTGGTGGGCCCTTTTCTCCATTCTCTAGGGATGCCAGTTTGGAGTCTGTGGAAGCTTTTCTCTCTTTCTTGCAGGTCTCTGTGTTCTCTCCTTCAGATGGAGTGGGCTGCTGGGTTTCCTGCCCAGCTCTCATGCCACCATAGTCCTGCAGGCACTTCTGGAGCTGAGCGGTCAGAGCATGCACCTTGCATGGCTTGCTAGCCAAGTGAGCACTGAGTCCAACCCCACTTGAGGGCAACAACAGGTGCAGGTCTCCTGGACTTGCCTCTCCCTGCCCCATTTCTGCCTTTTCTGCCGTGGTTCTGGGATCTACAGCGTTGCCCGATTCTTCCTTGCACCTGCTATTGGCTTTAGTGGCTGAGATGGTCTTGAGGTGCTGGTTCTCAGTCCTCAGCATTTTGGCTTGCCACAGCTCATGCTGAGGACTTGTGCTTTCCTCTTCTTGCAGCCTGTGGAGATGTTTGGCTGGCAGCCTCCTAACCTCAGTAGGGACATCGAGGACTGCGGTTTCATCAGTTACCACCTTGGAGATATCAGGATACCCTGCACAACACAGAAGTATGGGGGTGAATTAATGCTGGCTGTTGTCGGATAACATGATTGCTGCTGGATCAGAGGAGCAAGAACCTCAGAAAGAGACACTCTGCTATCCAATAGTCTTGGGGCTCTAGAATGAAAACCATCACTTCTATGACTTTTTTTTTCAACTGGGGAAAGTGGGGGGAATCTCTATCCCCTCACCACAGACAGTACCAGTGCTAAAGACTAAAACATTATGGCGTTTTCCTTTCTTGGCTGGTACTTCCTGATCTGATGCAGAGTCAGGACAAAAGTCTTGGAGGGATGCAGGGTTAGCATGGCAGAAGCCAGTTCAAAAGCAGCACCACATTTGTGGGAGTCTCAAATATGGGTAAGAAATGCCAGGAAAGCATTGCTCAAACTTGAAGGGCATATGGATTCTTGTAACCATACTGTGTGAGGGAACAGATGAGGGGGCAGCCACCTCCCACCGGAGACATTGAGGAAAACACCCTAAACACCCTGAATGAGGACAGTTCCCCAGGGGAAATTTCTCCATACCAAGCTTAGTGAGAGGAAGTTATCTGGCTCATCTTTATGTTTATCCTACCACTGTGCAGATACCATGGGTAATATCCTTCCTTCTGACAGCAAACCCATGTTTCTGAGAGGAAAGGCAGCTTTGCTACCCACTTGCTTGGGAAGTGGGAGCTGTCTAGGCCAAAAAAAAAGGCCTTCCGATTATCTCCTGAGGATTTAAGATCTTGGAGGACAGTGTAATGCTGGTGCAGGCTCACTGTGAGCTCTGAAGTAGCCCGGTCACGAGCAGTCTCGGGCCCGGGAAGACCAGACCGCCTCCGCCTGACCTTCCCGCCGAGGCCGGGACACCGGTCCTTCGAAAGGACGTACCTGCGGCGGGTTCAGCCGCCTTCCCCCGGGGAGAGGCCCCTTCCCTTTGCACCACGGTCTCCACCTCCGCCGCCACGGCCGCCGCACCAAAAAGAAGTAACCAGTTC